CACAACCTTTCCTGTCTTTGGATCCATTAAAATTACTGTGACAGGTGACGTGTATGCCTGTATAATAGCGGGTTGTGACCAGAGTGGAAGCAATTTAGCATTGATTTTGTTGATTGCCTTGCTCTGGTGGTGTAGTCTAAACATGACCCAATCGCCTATCTTGAAGGATGGGGGGTGTCTTCCCTGATTGTATTGTCTTTCGCGGGCTTCTCGTGCTTTAGTTAAATTTTGGTGCGCTTGTACCCATTTGTCCCTGGTTGTTTGGGGGTTTGTGTTGTAATTTAGTAATTGGTCCAAATCCCAGTTTAGTTCTAATGGATGATTGATCTGAAAACTTAAAAAAAGGTCTGCTGGGGAATATCCGGTGCTTGAGTGTTTGGCTGAATTAAAGGCTATCTGGAAAAGATGGATATTTTGGTCCCAATCAGTTTGATGATCTGAGTGATAAATTCGAATGGCTATTTTGATATTCTTGTTCACTCGCTCGGCATGGCTTGGGTTTGGATAGTATGGAGTGGTGGTTATGTGGCGGATCCCTAACTGAAGACACATGTCTGAAAATTCTTTAGATGTAAAAGACGAAACGTTGTCTGACACCAGATATTTTGGGAAGCCGAAGTAAGCAAAGAGGCCTGAGCGTAGAAGTGAAACTGTGGTTGCTGACGTTGTGTTCTTGGCCGGAAGAAAAATTGCAAATTTTGAAAATGAATCGACAATTGTGAGAAGGTATTTATTTCCTTTCTTGGAACGTGGTAATGGACCAATGTGATCTATGAAAATTTTTTCAAATGGTCTTGTCGGTACTTCGGAGGATAAGAGTCCTGCTCTAGAATTTAGGGCTTGCTTAGATCGTTGGCAGAAGGTGCAGGTTCTGACCATGTCGGTTATGGTTTCCTTAAGGGTTGGGGACCAAAAATGCTGCTCGATTCGAGACCAAGTCTTTTTGATGCCTAAGTGAGCTGTGGTTGGGGCTAGATGATAATATTTAAAGAGAAGTGGTATTAATCGGTCTGGAATAACTACTCTGGGTTTGGTTTGGCTTGGAAATTTGTGTGTCAGTACGTTGTCTACCATTGAATAGTTTGGTGGTGGTTTTTTTCCTTTCAATGACTTAATGATTTGTTGTGTAACTGTGTCTTCTGACTGATGTTCCCTAATATCTTTAAAAGCGTCTGGTATTTTAAATAAAACATTGATTTGATGTGGGTGATCTGATGTGGGTGAACAAGCTACGGGTGATGTGATTGGGGGTGGACAAGCTACGGGTGATGTGATTGAGGGTGGGCCTTCCTCGAACATGCGAGAGAGACAGTCGGCTACTACGTTGTCTTTTCCCTTAATATGATAAACTGTGAATTGGAATGAATTGATTAGTGTGATCCAACGTGCGATCTTGCCTACCTGTCTAGGATGGTTCAAAAGCCAGGTTAGTGCGTTAGAATCTGTATATAACTCAAAATGTCTGTGTTCTAAATATACACGGAATTTCTCGAGGAAGTGAGTTATGGCAAGCGCCTCTAACTCGAAGGCACTATAATTTTTCTCGTGTATGTTTGTGGGACGTGAACCATATACCACTGGCAGAAGTGCATCGTCGTACCTTTGGGACACTATTCCACTATTTCCACTGGAAGCGTGCTGGGCCCATAACTCAGAGGTCCGTGGATCGTAACCACGCTCTGCTACCAACTGTGGGGTCTTGACTGGAATTAACCCAGCTAGATCCACATTTAATAAATATCGTGCTGATTCCACTACCCAATAGCACTCACGCAAACCCTGCCCAGCGTAAGCCAGCTTTGATAAGTCGTGAATAAATTCATTAACTACATTTTTATTTAATTTTAACTACCCCTCGCCATTGAAACTCGCCTGCAGCAACTTGCCCTAAACATGATATCGATAATTGTAAAGTTAATTTAGTTACATCAGTTAATTTATTGTTGGTTGAACCTGCCCTAATTTAGAAAAGATACCCCTTACCCCCTTTATCCCCCAAAAGATTACAATTAATTAGACATTATCGGTACTTTACCAACTGTTGACCAAGGATCAGGACCTCCTTCTTCTTCGGCGACGGATCTCAGACAAAACCTGCTTGCCGGCGGTTGGTCTTTTCCGGTTGGAGCGCTAGTCTCGGTCCGACTAGAGCTGTCTGCCTGCCTTTGGATCAGAAGATGGGGTTGACTCTTACCTCAATATATATAATTATTGGCGGTGATGTGGGTTACTCCCACAAAACAGCCGATACAGATTATTTTTACTGTCATCATTTTGATTTACGTGTAAAATACATCCGCCGCAGCAAACCTGCAAACTAAGCGAACTTCAACTTGTCTGATTACATTTTTACTCAAATATTTCCATAACATATTATATAGACATATTTATTCCGAATTTAAATAACATAGATTTAATGAGTGCTTAGGTTTGCTGCTACGGGGAAGGTAAAAAGTGTGTTTGACTATAAGTCAATAGTATAGGATGAAATAAATAAAATTGCCAAATTTTATCAATATATATCCATAAACAAGTAAACTACAACAGTTTTCATTTTCTCCATAAGAATAACATGGGAATTTTAAGTTATACTATTTTTAATTTTTCTTCATGACCGTTAGGCATACAACAGTGCTTCAATATACTAAAATATTTCTTTTTTTAAGCTCTACTAAACGGTTTAAAAAGAAATTGCAATTTTTTTTATTTTAGGGTCAAAAATGGGAAAACCCCATTTTTACCCCATAAAACCCCCCATAAACCCCCGTTCCCATGGTCCGATTATGCTGATTCGCAAACTCGTTCAAATAAACGTAGGTTTACACGTTTGTACCAAATTTCATCAAAATCGGATCATTTTTGCTCAAGTTATCGCGCTAACGGACACATACATAAATATATATATATACTAGCTGACCCGGCGAACTTCGTATCGCCTAAGTTATAGGTTTCCCCTAAGACAGACCGATGGAAAGAAAGTACCGTTACGTTTAATTTTCAAGATGATCTCGTTCGCATCGCTCAATCACGTCCTGGTTGAAGTTTGTTCGCTACGCTCACTCACCTTTGGGTTGGAGCTCGTTCGCTACGCTCACTCACCTTTAGGTTGGAGCTCGTTCGCTGCGCTCACTTGCCTTCGGGTTAGCTCGTTCGCTACGCTAACTCGCCTCCAGGTTGAAGTTTGTTCGCTACGCTCACTCACCTTTTGGTTGCAAATTAGCTGTTGTCATTAATGTAAAAGAAATAATAGTGCTGCACCCTGTTGGTAATCCTTGTAACTTTAATGCTATTGAACATCATAGAACAGAACCAACTTGTTTAATTGAAACAGCTGTTAAGATTCATTAATTCCATTTCTCATAAGGTTAACATGGGAAACTCCAGAGCCACTGGGGCGGAGCCCTTTTAAGAATTTCGAAACGGGAAATAGTTTACGTCCGATTCGCATACCTACAGAATTTACACACCAAATTTCATAACGATCGGTGAAGTCGTTCCGGAGGAGTTTGCAGACAAATACTGTGACACGAGAATTTTATATATTAGATATATATATGAATTTGAACCGATGGTGTTTTTGGCCTCTAGGGACTTTAAAACAAGAAAGTAAATCGGTCCCGGGTCCAGGTCTTACCATGAGTACTATGGTAATAGCTTATTCCCTATATGGGAAATTCGCTAAAAATATCATAAATTCCTTTAACTTTTAGATTTTGACTGAATTTGATATTTATCATTCTCTTTTAGCGAATTTCCCATATAGGGAATAAGCTATTACCGTAGGTCTCATGGTAAGACCTAGACCCGGGACCGATTTACTTTTTCGTTTTGAGGTCCCCAGAGGCCAAAAACACCATCCGTTCAAATTCATATATATAAATATATATATATATTTATATATGTGTCCGTTAGCGCGATAACTCAAGCAAAATTGATCCGATTTTGATGAAATTTGGTACAAACGTGTAAACCTACATTTAGTCGAACGAGTTCGCGAACCAGCATAATCGGACCATGGGATCAGGGGTTTATGGGGTTTTATGGAGTAAAAATGGGTTTTTCTCATTTTTGAAACAAAAAACTTAAAATTTCTAAATTTCTCTCTAGACCATTTTGAAGAGCTTAAAAAAACAAATAATTTAGTATATTGAAGTGTTTTTGAATGTTCATTGACTACGGAGAAAATTTAAAAAATTGTAAATTTAAAATTCCCATGTTATTCTTATGGAGAATAAATAAACTGTTCTAGTTTGCTTGTTTATGGATATATTTTAATCATATTTGGCAATTTGGTTTATTTCATACTAAGCTATCAATATTTCAATTGAAAAAACACATCTCAACATCTTCCCCGTAGCAGCAAACCTAACTACTCACTAAAATTAATGTTATTTAAATAGGAAATAAATCTGAAAATCTATAGGGAATATTTTAGTAGAAATCAAGCCGGGTAAATGGAAATTCGCTTAGTATGCTGGTTTGCTGCAGCGGGGGTATTTTTGTATTGAGTATGTTTTTGATTCACAGAAATTATTCTTACAGTTTCAAATCTCTACTGAAATCTACATGGTCTAAAGCCTTAACTTGACCTCAGAGGTTAAAATTTTAACATTTACCAGGAAAATGATATACCTAAATTTACGTTTCACAACATTAGACTCTAACAACCCCCATTTTTGGGGAGCGAGCTGGTCTAGTGGTAGAGCGTGGGACTTCCCTGAGGTCTCGAGTTCAAATTGCGCCAAATCACCAATTGATTTTATCTAAGTAAGAATGCTGCAACCCCTACGTCTAGCTTGAAGTAATGTGAAAAACAATTCCGAGTCTAGAGTCCTAAGATGAAAACAAAATAAATAAATATAACCTAAGCCCATCAAATTTGTAAGGACATGAATTTAAGAAAATGAAATTTCTAGTATGTATTGATTGGGTTCAGTGTATGAGATACAGAACTTCTTGAGTCAAAAGTAAAAAAAAAAAGGTTTTCTTGTTTGTTCCAGAGCCCAAACTTCCAGAAGACAAAGAAGGAGATGAGGAAACTGAAGAAACCGAGAAGGATCCAGAGAAAGACAAACAACCTGAGGAAGACAGTAGTGATGAAGAGGAGGAAGGAGGAGGGGGAGAAAGTCAGGAAGTGGAGGCAATGGATGTCGATGAACAGGAGAATAAAGAGGATCAAAAGGGTGATGAAGATGGTAGGTTACTAAGTGTTAGAGACAAAAAGCATTCCTAAAATTTACTTGTTAATATGAAGTTGTGAAACTTAGATGGGATTTCTTTGTAAGAATAATCCAGTTAAGGTTTCAGCAAAGGAAGGTGGTAAATTTTACTTGAATTGTTAAAAATATTTACGACAGGTTCTTGTGAAATAGGAACTTAGTAGTTTTAATCTGTAACTTTTGAAAAGAGAACATTCATTCGTTTTTTCAAAGCAGTCTAAGATTCTTCTTCTTTCCATATTTTAAAAAGGAGGAAATTCAAATAAAATAATTAACATACAGTTTTACAGTGTCCACAGGACAACTGCAGTCTTGTAAGTTTAAACTTCCATCATTTTTAGCTCTGATTCAAACAAAGTACTTTTTCAATTGTCGTACTTCCAAAACTGTATCTATTTCTAATAGGCTAAGCTTTTCACACCTTGGGTGTCTATTGCAATCTTTTATTATTAGTAGGTACTGAATATATGACTGTATCAACTTAAATATTTTAGGTGGTTCCAAAGATGAGAATAAAACAGGCGAGGAGCCAAAAATTGATGAAGAAGAGAAGAAAGAAGAAGAAGAAGCCAAGCCCTCGGAAGATCTTCCAGCTTCTGAAGCGGTTCCAAGTGCTCAGCAGCAGACTGGCTCTAAAGACCAGGTCAGACTTTCTCATCTGAATGCATAACGGCAAGCTTATATTATTTTTGCTCATTTATAACATTTTTCTGACTTTACTGTCAAACAAAAATTAATTTATATTATTATTTTGTTGTCATCTATCTCTCCAGTATTTAAATTGATTTGTGTGTCCTGTAACAGGTAAAACAAGCCGAGACGAGTGAGAAATCAAAGGAGTTGAACCCAGAGGAAAGTGCAGCAGAAGGTGACTAAATACTATAGTTTTTTTATTATGATATTAATTGCTTGTTTTTTTTTTTAGAATAAGCTATTTCATTTTGGTAAGGATATGTGTAACTGTTTAAATAAAAAGGTGTTTTATCCCCAAATTAGAATTTAAGTAAAATCATTCCATTTTTTAAGGGATTTAAGTATTATATATACATTGCTATGATTGACCAGCTACAGCATTTTTTTATGAAGTATAACTTGGTTGGATTGAGCCATTCACAGTGTGTACTGCTTTCAAACTATATTTTCTCTCTTAGTTTCTGTTACTATGAATTAAAGTTGAATAGACTATGAAGTTATACTTTCAGATAGGCTCAGTTTAAATCCGATGTATTCAACAGAAATCAGTAAATTTAAATCCGTGACTGTTAGTTGCTCATTCCAACAACAATTTATATTCTACAATTAGCTGAATCTTTGTTGTAGCAATGGAATGTATACTATCAATAGTTATAACACAAAAAAGAAACTATTTAAGCTAAAATAACTTTCTCAGTATTTTAGACCACTCTACTAAAATGATGATGTACTGTTCACTGATACAATGTCATCACTGTGTGTAGGCCCAGAAGAGCAAGGCGTTGGAGCTGCACAACAAGACCAGCGGGAGGCGGAGGCGGGGGGGAGAGGGGAGAGCTCTCAGGCCGTCCCCTCCTCTACACAACAAACACGGGAGGAGAAGAGAGAGAGACCTGGGGAGAGTGAAGAGCAAAGAACTTTGGGTTGGTGTCCATCCTGTGTTCATAGACTGTCAAGTATTGAGCTCAGAAAAGAGAATTATATTCTATTAGTGAAATTAAAAAATTAATCTGAATACAACAATTTTATTTTTTTATTCTAGAAGTAGGCTGTTTCTCTTGACTTAGATGAGTGCATGTGTTTTTGGATGATTAGCAACTCTAATTTTGTTTGATTTCAGGTGATGTACAAGAGCCGTTGAAAAAGAAATTGAAGACCATCAACATGGAAAGGCAGAACGAGACGACAGACCAGAGAACAGAAGAAGAAGGTATTAAAGAGGATGAATCGGCTGAGATGTATCAGCATATAAAGGAAGCTAAACGGAATCAGTATGATGCTCAGACTATGGATGCAGCAACAGAGGTAAGTCTGTTTTGTGATTAACATATTGGAAAATGAAAATAGAAAAAATATTTTACAAAATTATAAAATGTATGCAAATGAAATTAGAACAATAATTCAGTCAGATAGTCTGACAGTTTTAAACAACTTAGTACTAAAGTAACAAAATCAATATGTGTTTATGAATGTTTGTATACTGACCATAATGGTGGTGTAACATTTGTTTTGCTTCCACTTAAAGGAACAAGCAGCTGAACAGAAGCTACCAAACAAAGAGGATGAAGAGGCTGAACCTCTGCAAGATGATAAGGACATGACCTTGGATCAAGGTCAGTACTGTAGTTACAATGAGGTTAACCCTTAACCGTGCGCGCGGGGGTTTGACATACCACATCATATGATAATTTTGTCATAATTTTACAAGTATGGTGGCAACTCTGGTGAGCATAACAGTAGCCACCTAAAATAGCATATGCTATCATCTGGCAGCAGGGTTGTTAGTCTTGACCGAGTCATTGAACTTTTATCACCCTCCTGGGTCTGGCTTACCCCCACATGCATGCTTGTGTTACCAGTACAGTGTTCATTGGAAGGTCTAGTGTACCCCTGTGCGTGTATTAGTGTCTCAGTTTTATTATGATAATTATTATTAAAAACTTTATTATTTATAATAATGATAGTATTGAAGTTGCCAAAAAATCTTAGTACCTGTAAACCAATTGGATGGAAATGCCCAACCATTGTAAAGAAAAAATAAAAAAAGCTCTTTACTACTACTTTTATATATTTAAATATTGTATTTAAATATATTTACTCCTTGCAATGCTCTTTAATGAATTCTTTACAAATGTTGGTTGCCCCTAGGTTGGAAGAACTCTAGAAAATAAAAATATCAGACAGAGCTTTTGGCAGTGGAAGCTTGATGTTATAAAAAATATGTGTGGGCCCTGCAAAATATAAATATTCCCCAAAGGTCCTTAGGGGACGCCCTTGGTACTGTTATGGTTCTTCCAAAAATGTAATACCTTTAATGAGAGCAACTTACCAGTCTTAATTCTACACTGAATTTACTTGCTCACTACTACACTAGTGTTTAGTGTTGCACTTAAAAGGTGAATCTTTTGTAGTGGCTTAAGATTTATGCAATTACCTTTTGTTTACCAATTAGATACTATAGCATGTACTGAATTACCAAGGTTATTGAGAACTAAAAAGTGAGTGACAATTTGATTTATTGAGCAGTATTAAAGAATTACAATGACTTCGTTTGACAATTTCTGATTGTGTTGTGTAATATAAAATATGACCTTGAGTGACACAATCAGACTGGATTGATTTGTTTGAAAACGTTGAACGGATTTATCAAAGGGGAATATTTGGCGCGGTTTCACACCGATCTCGAAGGTGTCAACGGGAGAGTGGTATTTAATTTAATTTGAGATGACCAGTGCCAAGCAAGTCCTGTTCGTTGGCCAACGATGTAAATATGAAGGTCGATTCTCGAAGGTCAACTGATTAAACAGTATTGCGTTTAATCGTAGTATTTATTGGAACGTCGATTACTGTTTTATAGCTAATTTGGCACTTTGGCGGTTCATCTATATGCAAGCTGACACAATCCTCCGACAACACTTCCGGATTCAGCCGAACCAGCTACCTAATCCCTCCTTTGATATTAATTTGATTCCCCAGCTTTAAATACTGATTGTGACACTCTTTAACGAACTGTACCTTTAATAATGACTCTGTGCAAAATTCCAATACTATATTAAAATATTACAAAGCAACTCTGAATTACCCTATAAAAACACTTTCATCTATTTATTTTTAATGCTATTTGATTATCACAGTCTAATAACTAAAGCGGATTGCTACAATATGAATGGATATAAAAATCAGCGAATTGAGGTTGAACCTGTGAACATGTGCTTATTCTACATGAACTAACAAAACAAGACAGGAAAATTTACAAAAGTGCGACTCACTGAAATCTAAATTTAACAAATAAAAAGACACAAATTACTTACAGTTTGGACGTCCACAAATATAACACAAACAAAGGGGAAGGGATTGGGAAATGTAACTAGCCGGTATTCTACAAGACGCGATCAATTGAACTCGTGAAACGTTTGAGAAATTTTCAAATGGCGGACTGCGTTTGGCCGGTAACGAACTTTTGCACTTTTTGACAACGACACTGATTCTAATTTCCGATCGCGAGGCAATTATATCCCTTAGGGATATAGGCTGAACGACTTTAAGGAAATTTGAGATTGCCCGACCAAACGCCGCGAAATGAATTTAATTTTCACAAACGAAAGTGTTACCGAACTAGTTACGTTGAGATTTGGAGAGGGACTGATACTACTGGAAACAAGTGACCATCCGACTAGACCTTATCCCCTCCACTTCTTTAGTGCGTGGTGCATTCTGGTCTATACTGATCTATTGTTCAAAACAGCTGACTGTTCTTCGCGTTAACTTGTATTGATTTGTTGCCTTTTACAACAAAATCGGTACACCATAGAGTCCACTGATCTAGCCTCCCAGTAAAAAGGCGCGGTGCACCGTCTGTCTTGGACAAAAAGACGCCAAGACCAAATTTAAGTAAAACCTTAAACAACCAATGTGCCAGGGACAAATGTAAAATATGTTTGAAGTGTGTTTAAAAGGATTTCTAAACCAACCACTGGACGTGGATGTTTAAGGGAAAATACACATTATCAAAGAAAGTTTTTAATTTTTTGTATATTTTGTACAGTATTTTCTATAAACCAGGAAATTGATTAAATCATTAAATATTTCGGTGAAAATAAATCAGTAAAGACTACAAATCCATATATAAATCCCAAAGTACACATGAACTTTGAGAAAATTATATATGGATTTGTAGTCTTTACTAACTTTACTGATTTAAGTTCACCGTTCAATATAGGTCCCAAGGGAGATGGTCATGCCACTACCATTACTGGAAACGTAGAAACCATTTATTCTCATACGGGTTGAGTTAACCGTCCTTGCAACCCTCACAAATGCGTTGTATTCAGCATTTTTAACAATTAACTCAATAAGAAACTCCCTATTTCAGACGAGCCAGCAGACACTGATCAAGTGACGAGTGTCAACCCGGAGAAGTTGAGGGAGGCCAATGACCAGAAGCAGGATGGTGTTCAGCAGCCGGCCGCTGACGGGGAGAGAGTGGAGGGGGAGGCCAAGATGGAGGTGGAGGGGGAAGTGGTGGAGACGGAGACTGTACAGAGAGGAGCGGACAGCTGGTATCACACAAACATGAGTGAGGAAACAGACCTGGGCATAGCAGAGGTGGACATAGACGGCATCCGACGTGAGCTGGAGCAACAACTGGCCTCTTGGAGTCAGGTAAGCTACTAGTTTGGGGAGATTGTCTAAGTTGCCTATTCTTGGTTACAAATATTTAATGTTTAAGCTTGGTTAGGAAATTTTAAATTGCCTGTTAATGTGGACTGAAGTCTGTATGATGGTGTAAAGACAGAACATAGATTCTTTCTGATTCTGTTAAGTCAACAAACAACAAGCATTACAACTTAAAACTTGTTAATCTAATTTCCTTATGAAAAGTGTTTCCAATAAATCTTATTGTCTTGACACTTTCATCACAAACTAACAAGCTACTTTGCAGCCGCCTGCTGCGGGAGAGGCAGTGGTCGCGTGGGAGCGACTGTGTGGTGTGACGGCTGACCTGTCGCGCGAGCTGAGCGAACAACTGCGGTTGGTGTTGGAGCCAACTCACGCCTCTCGGCTACAGGGAGATTACCGTACTGGGCGTAGGATCAACATGCGAAAGGTAGCATTAAGTAGATAGTTTCAATTGAATGGAAAATTTGAACATAACTTTAAAGAATATTTTTATAGCAGGCTTACATTGATTTGAATTAGTCCATTCCTAGAACACTCTTTCTCATCCAGGCAAGCTTCGTATCGTAAAAGGAATCCTAAAACCTTGGTCCTTGTGCTGTATATTACATCCTTATCCTTATGTCAACTTTTTATAGAGTGGCAACCAGAGATTTTGCCTCTTTTGCTATTCTTTTACATTTTACTTAAAAACGCTCATAGCTTTGGTAGTGCTAATTTCCCCTTTTGCTTTAGGCAATTTTTTCACCTGTAATGGCCATTATTAATTTACACAGTAATATTGCTTGCGATACAATTGTTTTCTGGGTTTTTAAAGTCTTCAATATGATTCCTTTTGTACTGCCAGTCTGTTAAATTATGTATCAAAGCTAAGCATATTCATTTCTACAGCACATTTTCTTAAAACTCTGTGTTTTAAAAACTTCCAGTATCTTCAAAAAAGATTTAGCAATTACCAAACATACTCTGACAATAATATTATCTGGATCTCAGGACACGTTTGAATTTATTACAGTATTTGAGTCTGCGTTATTTAAATGTTAATGGTACATTACAATTTAGCGAGCTCGTTGGTAAAATTGTACATTATTTAGAAAGTTATGGAAATTATTCTAGGTGATACCCTACATTGCTAGTCAGTTCCGCAAGGATAAGATCTGGTTGAGGAGGTCAAAGCCTGCCAAGAGAGAGTACCAGATTGTCCTGGCTATTGACGATTCTTCCAGCATGGCTGACAACCACTCTAAAGAGGTAAGTAACGTATAGTAATGCAAGAATAAAGAGTTGTAAATATAAATAAAAATATACTTGCGGAAAACCCCCTGTCTACTGATCAATGCATATCACTACATACTATACTCAAACCCACTGTAGATATTATCACAAAACACGTTGTATCTTGTCACGAAATGTATACCTGTTATCTTCCCAATTGCAAAAATGCTTGTACAGTACTAAATTAAGTCTTCATATTGTAAACTGGTTTATGCTGTAAATATAAAAATTGAATTGTGTTACTTTGTTACAGTCCCTGGAATCCTATAGACCTGTAATACTAAGTTGTGTTGTAGCTGGTGTAAAAATATTACCTCTGTTTTGTAGCATTTATAATCATATCATACATTTAAAGGGGAAACGAGGTAGCAAAAAATGGCTAGAAGTTTTCTAAGAACCCTTTGAAATAATCTTTTTGAGCTAAAATAAGATCTTTTAAAGTAAAATGATAACTAAATATTCTGTAATTTGCTATAACGTAATAAATCAAAAATCAAGACTGGCCAAATATTTTGGCTTGATTTTGGGTGACAATAACGGTAACTCTATGATTGTGGGAGACATTCAAAACTTGGGGAAATTCGGGCTATGGGGGGCGGGGGCCGTTCAAGTAAATTCGGCTGACCACAAGTACACTAAATCTGGTACTTGAGAAGGGGTGAATGGGTGAGAAAGGGTAAATCTGGTTACTGAACGAGGTACCTTCATCAGGAAGCTCCTGATGTCCAGAAGCTAATGCTATTTAACTTCTCCAGATCTTTTTGAGTTTGTAATATTTCTTATCTTATTAACTGAATACTGGTTGTGACAGTTGGCGTTTGAGTCGTTGGCTGTCGTCAGCAAAGCCCTCAGTCTCCTTGAGGCTGGACAGTTGGCAGTCCTGAGTTTTGGAGACACGCCTAAAGTCCTTCACCAGCTGGGCGACCCGTTCACAGAGCACTCTGGTGCCAGGTTGGTGCATTGAACATTTTTTCTCTTTCAAAAGGGCTTAGTGTCAATGGAGTTTAAAACTGTGTGGTTGAGATTGTCAACTGTAGAAGTTGATTTTAAGAAATCATTGTTGTTGAACATGAAAACTAGGAAATAAAATTTATTGCTTAAAATGTGGGATTCTTTTCAAAGATGGGTACTTTTATTAATTCTAAAATAATCTGAATGTTTTATGAAATACCTACTTACTTCTGCAAAGTCCCCTTGTAGGGACAAAATATCAAATTGTGTTGTGAAATTTGTGTGTCAATTACCGGGAACCTTATTTTCTTGATTAATATTTTAAAGGAAAGCAATTTGGCTGGTTAGAATTTGTTTGAAAAGGAATATAGCTCAGCCAGATTACCTGAGAAAATTAGAGTCCAGGGGCTAATAGATACACAGTAAAAGAACACTAAACGTAAAACTGATACTGTATTACTCCTAATTTAAGAAGAAATTCTTCAGTGAGTAGTGTGACGGAAAAACCTTTATTTGAGTAAGGCTCTAGGCCAGAATTTTGAATTTAAGAACAAAGGGGCTAGCTGCTATATTTTCTTGGGTAAGTTATTCGTCCATCTATTTCTTCTATCATAATGTGTTTCTAAGCCAAGTGCTTTTTCTTAAAAAAAATGAACTATCTAGTTATGAATGTTAGTTCTAGATCTTTAATTGTTGTATTTATTACAGCATGTAAACAAAATTATTTTTACAGGTTGTTGCAACAGTTTTCGTTTGAACAGCAAAAGACTCAGGTTGGGGCTTTGGTCAACTTCGCTGTCAGTTTGTTTGAGAAGGTCCCGGCACGACGAGGTATGTAAACTTCATTAATTTGGAACTAATTATTCATCAAGTGTGAGATATCATTTGTTGTATGTTATAAAAAAATATTTATTGATACTTTTTTATTTTAATTGCACAAAACAGTTTATTTTTACCCGCTTTGCAGCTTTGTGTTTGTGTTTATTTTAAAGTTTCTGTCTGCAAGTAAGTTCAGAAACCTATTAAAGAAAAAAAAATTGTCTGTACCAGAATGGTGTTTGAGGAATAAATTTATACATCGTAGTTAGGGCATTGACTACAATTAAGAGAAAACACTGAAGTAGCAAGCATTAGAACAGAAGTTCTTGAATTTTTCCTCGTATGTTCTCCAGGTGTGACGGACATTGCCCAGCTGTTGGTGATAGTCTCTGACGGCCGAGGAGTGATGAATGACGGAGAAGAAGTTGTGAGACAAGCGGTCCGCAGGGCTAAGCACTCTGGAGTGTTCATGGTGTTTGTCATCGTAGATAACCCACAAAGCAAGGTAGAATCTACTGTTATACATTAACTAGTATAATCACTTAGGCAATTGGTTTTGTTGTGTTTTGTGAATTGTTTGAGAAAGGTCAATTCACATGTATCAGTTACGGCATGTCACAGGTCAGTCACATCAGTCACGTCACAGTCCACAAAAACATTCCTTAATGGATTTTCTATTGCATTATCTACACTCTTCCGGCGCAGGTCCGTCAGTTGCTCTGCTGGCGTCCGTCAGCCAGTGTCAGATTTCTTTCCACGGATTGTTTGGATGCCTGATGGACGTATTTGAGGTTAGAAAATAGTCTTTTTGTATTTCAATGATTGTGTTTATGTGGACTGATATGTGTGAAACGACTTTTAATTAGAGGACCTGTGGGATAGTGCAAGTATTAACATGTTGGAAGCGGACATGTGTTTTAATGCTGATGCAGTTTACTTAAATGACTATGCTTGGATTACCCTCTTGTCAATCCGTAATGTGTTTCAGGACTCAATTCTGGACATAAGACTACCCAAGTTCAGCGGAGGAAAGCTGCTGGGTATCGTACCATACATGGACAGTTTTCCGTTCCCATTTTACCTTATTTTACGAGACATCAACAGTCTTCCCTCTGTATTGAGTGATGCTTTACGGCAGTGGTTTGAACTGGTCACATCAACTTCGTAAAATTTAATAAGAATTTTAGTTTTTTTTTACAATAAAGTACAGTAAAATAGTTCTATACATTTCTCAGGAGTTTTAAGCAATCATATGTAAGTATATTGTTAACAAAGTTAAATTTTAAAAACTTGTTATGCACTTTTGTTGGATGAAATTTACTGATATTGTAACTGTAAAAAACGTGTAATATACTGTTGAATTAAATTTTCAAAAAAATGTTTTAGATCTTGTATTTCCTTGGCTGTTTTATATATAAAGAAAGAGAAGCATAGCTGTGTGGTTTCGATTATAGAGACAAACATTCATTTCCAAACAAAAATAACAAGTAGAGCTTATTCTCCATGAAATCAATTTTACTACTTACTGTAGATTATGGGTATTAACCACAGCTAATGTTTTCTCCAAACAAACGTTACTACTGTTGATTATGGGTGCTAAACTCAGCTATAATGTATGAGAAGCATAGTCAGCACCTACCTATGTTATGCCTACATATGGATGAGGGTTAGACAAAAGCTCAACATTGTTAGCTCAATCTAACATTTAATTACATTACTCATTAACTACATCTTGAAATATAAATAATCAAGCAACGTTATACATACAGTTTTACACTAAATACGTTAACAATATACAAATTGACATAACAGCTTGTAAAATATACATACAAAGGTTTCTAGTTTTACAATTTGTATTTTCACTGGATATATAGTGCTTTATAAAACAACTAAATCAGTGGTTTGGTTGTAGCATTGATACATTGATACTATTGGATACAGAAGTAGAAATCCCATCTTTATGGATCAGTGGTCACCAATTTTTTACTAAAAAAGAATGTAGTTGTGTGAGCCAGTCATAGAATGTGATAGTGTCCAAAATTCTATATCTCTTTTTTATTTTTTGTTGCTGACATAGTTGGTGGGTCATAACAGTGTGATATAACTCTTAAAGTCGGTCCATCAGTTTGACTTGGTAAAAAACATAATTTAGATCAGCGCAATCTGTCGGTGGCTCACATCAACAAGACAAATTAGATTTTAAAAATGGCAACAACATTAACATGGGGATAGAATGTCTAGGTTCATCAATAGTCAAAGGTTGTAGGAGTCTAAATTTACATAATATTATAATCATACTAATATATAATAGAATAAAAATAGGAAAAATATAAATATAAATAATAACAAAAATAAATATTAATCAAATGCAAATAAATAAAACTTACAATGGTTAGTATTGACGTGTAAAAGAATGCTTTATGAACAATATATCACAATCCATGAAGAATCTCTTCAAAACTCATACTGTCAACCTGTATGAAAAAAATCATAATGAGAACAGAAGAAAAGTAACACAAAAGAAAAAAACAAATAGTAAAAGAATGCAAACAAAACACATTTATACAGACCCACTATTTTAAGTTTGAGTTGTTACTAAAGATGAACAGGACTCGAAATTGTGGAGTTTGTTATCGGGATGAATATTTTCCAACTTAATGCGGGGTTCAGGATTTTCTCCAAACAAGATCTGTCAATCCATTTAAACAATAGTATTTTAACAAACTTAGATTTATGTTGTTGAGAAGAAAAATCAAAAAATCACTAGTCCTACCTCAGTTTTACTTACAAAATTGCATTCAAACTTCTTATTTGTTACTGTATATTTAATTACTTATAGGATAACCACTTTAACTGCAACGCTCTTTTAACCCTCCGAGTGTTATTTGTCGCTGCAGCGACTCACAAACACTGTTTACAGCGAAGGCTCTATGACTGACAAAATCGGATTGAACTGGATCGAGTTAGGTATCGTTTTATTTGACAGATTCAGAGCTTTCTCCCTAGGTCTGTCTCTAAGCGCTATTCATTTTAGTTTTGAAAATATTGTAGCAGACAGCTGACGTGCGTATTTGTAAACAGCTTGGTTAACCTCGGACCGATGACTGATGTGTTTTATTATGTTTATCATTGTTTTAGTGTTAAAAATCAAAAGTAGTGATATACGTGGTGCATTATAAGAAGATTTAAGTGATTTTGAAGGGCTGGTTGATGATCCTGAAGAAGTAGGTAGTGATATTGATGTAAATTATCAGCCAGATTCCTAGCTATGGTTAGGCTATGCATTCTTAGCTAAACGCTATGTACTGAAATCTGTTTTTTGCCCATAACTTATTTATTTGCAAATCTACTTCCTTATATTATTATATATTTGTAATCCTCATAAAATTTAGAACAAAGTGGCTATTTTCAAATATTTATAGGCCTATAATTTATACAATTTCATTGAGCGCGAACTTATTTTTTTTTTTTTTTATGTTCCAAAATATTTTTTTTTACCTAAACAATTTATTGAAACAAATGTTCCTTATGTTCTATGTATAATATTGAAGCCCATGATTTTCCAAACAAAATGGTATATAGAACAGTATAATTAACATTGTTTTCAAGCTTCTCATATCCGCTTTAATAAAACCTTGCAAATGAGCAAAAAATAGGCAGACATTAAGGCCAAAACAAGGGACACTCGGAGGGTTAAGGGATGAAGAGTTTACAATAAGTTATTTAACATTAAAGTTTGCTTTTAACACATTGAATCATTAAACATACTACTCAAATTACCAGTACAAAAATATTGATATGTCTTTTATTAACTTCTAAGGCATTATAACAGACTTGGTATTTTATTCTTTTTGAACACTCCAGATTATAAGTATAAAATAAACACTCTCTAGAGAAAAATTGAAGAGTTTTAAATAGTTAACTAATATTTGTCTATTTTAAGTAATTGACTGGATGATATGACTAGTATTTATTTGAAAATCCCATACTGGCTACTGGTGCATTTTGCAATATCCAGAGGTACTTTATGGTATTTTGCATAGAGTCAATAGATTATGCAGACTAGTACCTTTGGATTGACGGTGCCTTTGTTATGCTTCCTTTATTTTCTTCCTCGCCATTTTCTGTGTTCTTACCAACCCATCCACCCATCTCAAGATCTTGTTTCTTCTTTAGTTCTTCTTCCTGAAGGAATAAGGAGAAAGGATGATTTTTTAATGAAAAAATGTTTGCCTACACTTTTTTCTGTAACTTGTTATTATATATTATATATAAGCACTCTTGATGCCATATATTCATTCAATTCAAAGTTCTCAATTGTCAATAGATTTGTTGTATTTGCCGGTACCCTTATGAACTAAAGTTTTTTGGTAAGGTACAAACGGTAAGTACAAAAACCTTACAAATATTTGTTATGGGAAAAAACCAAGAACAAAATTTTTTCTAAAAAACCTTGTTGGTGAGATTTATGCCTTTTTTTAGCGAATTTCCCATATAGGGAATAAGCTATTACCGTAGTACTCATGGTAAGACCTGGACGCGGGACCGATTTTTTTTTTCGTTTCGAGGTCCCTAGAGACCAAAAACACCATCCGTTCAAATTCATATATCTATATTTATATATATATGTGTTCGTTAGCACGATAACTCGAGCAAAAATGATCCGATTTTGATGAAATTCGGTGCAAACGTGTAAACCTACGTTTATTCGAACGAGTTCGCGATCCAGCATGATCGGACCATGGGAACGGGGGTTTTATGGGGTAAAAATAGGTTTTTCGCATTTTTGACCCAAAAAAACATAAAATTTAGCAATTTCTTTCCAAACCATTTTGTAGAGCTTAAAAAAACAAATAATTTAGTATATTGAAGCGTTATTATGCGCCTAATGGTTACGGAGAAAATTCCAAAAAATTGTAAATTTAAAATTCCCATGTTATTCTTATGGAGAATAAGTAAACTGTTGTAGTTTGCTTGTTTATGAACATATTTTGATCAAATTTGAAAAATGTTTTTATTTCTTACTAACTATTAACATAAAAAAAACAGTTTTACCTCCCTGATGCAGCAAACCTAAGTACTTGTTAAACTAATTCTATTTAAATCGGGAAAAAATGTTATATTTTTAAGTAGACATTTCAGTGTAAATCAAATGGAAATTCGCTTAGTCTGCAGGTTTGCTGCGGCGGGGGTATTTACCCTCCCTGTAGCAGCAAATCTAGGTATGCTATTTAAAAATTATATAGATTTAATTGAAAATCCAATCAGGTAAATGGAAATTCGCTTAGTCTGCAGGTTTGCTGCGGCGGGTATTATTATAATATATTTAAAGCTGTTGAAGATACCTTGTACAATTTTAGGTAGCAATAAACTGATACAAAAATAATCATTCAAACACAATCTTTAGCTTTCAAAATAGCAGCCATTTTTATTCACACAAAAACTGCTCATTTTATGATTTAATGGTAACAGCACTTTTATTTAACATTCAAAATTTTACTATTAAACATCTTCATTAAAAAAAGCAATATCAGGCCCAGGTTTTTCAATGATACCTATTACCTACAGTAATAAATTGTTCCCTTTAAGGGAAACTAGCTGTAACCCGCGGGCTTTGCCCCGTTTAACTTCTTAATTTTCAAGATTATCTCGTTCGCATGGCTCAATCACGTCCTGGTTGAAGTTTGTTCGCTACGCTCACTCACCTTTAGGTTGGAGCTCGTTCGCTGCGCTCACTTGCCCTCAGGTTAACTCGTTCGCTACGCTAACTCGCCTCCAGGTTGAAGTTCGTTCGCTACGCTCACTCACCTTTTGGTTGCAAATTAGCTGTTGTCATAAATATAAAAGAAATAATAGTGCGGCACCCTGTTGGTAATCCTTGTAACTTTAATGCTATTGAACATCATAGAACAGAACCAACTTGTTTAACCCTAGCAGTGGCCAACTGTCGTCTGGTGACGGTATGACGTTGATGCTTAGAATGGCCAAAGTCGTCTGGTGACGGTATGGGCCGAAATTTTTTTAACGGTAAAAAAAACACTTACAATCAACTCAGATGAGAATAATATATATACCATTCGAAAGATCACATTCTGAACTTTCATTTGATTACATAAACAAACCCTGTAGCAGGTATATAACAATGTCACGACGATTAGAAATCAATTGAAATTTTGGCGCGGCACGACTTTTGCAGCCGACACTTGGGAACTGGCAAAACACGTCTTGTTTGGCATTACCCTGCTCGGGTAATTTTCGTCTTGGGATGTTGCGGGTGGTACCACTGGATAGCCATTGATTTTATCTTCATTGTGGTAGTGATATTTATAACTAAATATTGATTGCACAATCGTTACGATTTTATGAAAACAGCTGTTTTAGAAATGTCTTACAAATGGCCAACAGTCGTCTGGTGACAGTATGGAAAATACGAATTATATACAGTGAAAGTTATTATTACTAGCCATATAGTATATCATTTTGAAGAGGAAGAAATTTAGATTCATAGAGTGGCAGCCCTGCACTCAGGGTTATTTCTGTATGCTCGCATGTAGACGACAAGTGAGTCATTACTGCTACAGTCTGTCAGCTGTCTTGTATTGCCATTGTTTGTTTGTGTATTGTGTTGTTGCCAGTAATAGTTTTATCCGCGATTTATTACTAAATATGTTATTAGTTCGTAGTGTTAGTGTTAGTGAAGTGTTGTGTGTGTGTATAACAGTAATCTTCATGCATAAATATTACTGAATTGTGTGAAATAGTGTTCATAAAAGGTTGTATTTTGTTAGCATCATGTCCTAAAATGACGATTCTGACATTCAGAGATTGTTGTACCTATATAATGATATACCCAAGGTGTTATACATTTTTATAAAGGTAAATGAATACACTACAACATGTTTATAATGGTTTGGGGGTAAAAAATTTTGTAAAAAAGTTATAGCCTATACTAAATAGGCCTAGGCCTACTACTGTATTTTGTTAGCATCATGTCCAAAAATGACGATTCTGACATTCAGAGGTGCTATATATGCTATATAATGATTTACCCAAGGTGTTATACATTTTTATAAAGGTAAATGAATACACTACAACATGTTTATATTGGTTTGGGTGTAAAAATTTGGTAAAAAAAATTATATAGGCTACTAAATACTGTACACTCCATTTTCTCGAAATGCGCAAAAAATTCAAAACGTTCTCAAATTGATACATAATCATAGGTGAAAATAACTTTTTACCATCATACTTATGACTTTTTTGGATTCTTTACTTCATTAGCTTTACAAATATGTAGGCTACATATCATCAGCCTATATAATGTTTCACAACACAAGCAAACACTGTAGGCTATAGTTTACACTTATTTGCGGTTTTGCGGTTATTGTATTATTATGTCCCTATTACGTACCTACAACAAAAATATTTCTAACATGTTATACATTTTTATGTAGGTAATTGAATACACTACAAGATTATTATGTTGGTTTGAAGTAAAAAAATTGGTACAAAAGTTGTATACTAAGTACTGTAAATTTTTTTTCTCGAGAAATCGCTAAAATATAAAAACATTATTATATATGCGTATGTTTATAGGTAAAAAATTATTTTTACCATAAACTTTATGACTTTTTTTGATTCCTTACTTCATTAGCTTTACAAACATGTATATATCATTATTAGTATACACATATATTATAGAACTTTTTACAACATAAACTAACACTGTACGGTTTTCAATTTTTTCGGTTCTCCGTTTGTCATTATATTTCGCCCCAAAAACTTATAAAAAAAAAATATTTTCCTAACATGTTATATATTTCTATGTAGGGAATTAGATTGTCTACAAAATGTATATAATGAATTTCCCATAAAAAAATCCGTAGAAAAAAATACCGAGGCCGCTTTTGAAATTTCAAAAAAAAAATTCAAATTTTTTATTTTTTTTCACTGTACCGATAAAATACACTGTCTAAATCATTATGATATTACTATTTCTAGATTCTCCTGTTCTTTCCGAACAAAATGAATATGAGGTTGGCTAGGTTTACTTGTACGGTTGAGTTTTTACGAATTTTCAAAAAAAGGTCTGCAAAATCGCCAAAATGGGTTGGCCATTCCCCACTTCTAACATTGGCCACTCCTAGGGTTAATTGAAACAGCTGTTAAGATTCAATAATTCCATTTCTCATAAGGTTAACATGGGAAACTCCAAGGCCACTGGGGCGGAGCCCGAAAGGATTTTTGAAATAAGAATATGCCTATATGTTAATCGGGAATGTGAGCTATCATCATGCCAAATTTCAGCCCAATCCGACCAGTATTTTTCGCATTCACTTGTCACAAACATACATCCATACATCCATACATCCATACATCCAAACTTTCTCATTTATAATATTAATAATAATAAGTAGGATTTACTACTACTATAAAGAATAAAACAGGTGGTCACTAGCAACAATAACCTTTGGTCAATGATTTGAAGCTTTTAAACGGAAACTAGAAAATTTACATCAGTAAGTGGCTTAACTCAACTACATCCATTTTGATTTTTAAGAATGGCGACAAGTTTAACATGGGATTGAATGTCTTCAATAAACCGTCGAAGATAACTTCCTCTATCAAACTGTAAATCAACAATAAAAAACCTATTTAATATTTATTATGAAGATGCATACTTACTTCAGCCAACATTTGCTGGTAGTGGTCGATTTCAAACTGGTATTTGGGCGTTGTGATACCGAAGAAGCTGGCTAAGGATTCTCCGAGATAATCACAAACCTCTAGGGTCTTAGAGCCGGCCACCACAGTTTGGTACCAGAACCAAGGCATCCACGCCAATGTTTTCTACACAATCCACAATAATTTAACTCTACCTTGTATGACCTTTTAATATTTATAGGTTGATGGCTTGCGGAGACATCATATATATAAATGTAAATATAACAAAAGTATAATGTTAAACATTCAGTTTAATACAAAAGACGTTTTTTTTAATCATTCATCCATAACTTTAGGTGGAGAATATTATTAGTTTTCTGAATTTTAGTGTAGCCAATTGTAATTCAAAACGAGCTTGTGAAAACAGCAGTACAGTTCCACTAACATTAAAAAATAGGCCAAAACAAAATTGTAGACACTTTTTACTGTGAACAGCCACAGTTGAAACACTATAAATTAACCAATAAAGAGTTGCCTTTGTACTAATACAAAATTTTCATCATCATTGCACGTCCAATTGACAATTTCAAGGTTTACACTTTGGGAATTTAAGTTATGCTAGGAAAACAAAATTAGTTTGATAACCTAATTGTGTTCTTTATCAACAAGTCTCTTAAGAGGCTCAACATGTGTGAGACTATTCCTATCTCTAGTTAATATCTGGACTTACAGGATCAACACTTGACAATTGTTGAGCATTTTGTTGCACAATTTTGGGTTCAACACCATCTTCCTCATCAGTACTATATTCTTCCAGAGTCCCGTCGGAGAAGTGTAAAACACGACGAGGAACTCTTTTTGGTTTTGCAAACGGAGGGGCAGAAGAATCATCTGCCGGCACCTAAAATGAAAGTATGATTCAATGTTTCCAGGCAGGGTCTAGCTTTAATATATCCTATTCTATGGATAATAATACAGAGGGTTGCATTTTAACCGGATATTTAGATCATACATAATCTTCTTATTACAGTCCAACCTCGGTATAACGAATCTGAAGGGACCGAACTAAATATTCGTTATATCAAGGATTTTGTTAAAACGAGGTTCGTTATATTGAGGTTAGGTTTGCAGGAATTTCGCTAAGTCGAGGTTCAGAACCAGCATCAGTCAATATAGGTCGGGATTGGATCTCAATGGCCTCATTAAAACACAATTAAAGTAGCATAGGCTACAATACTTTACAGTGAACAGTGTTTACATTTTAAAGTAGAACCTCGATTATCCGGGGTACTAAAGGGAAGGGATCTTTAACATTGCGCAATCATGCCATTTCTAGTTATTGACCTTGGTACAGGTTACGGTTACAAACTGTATGTTTAAAATCACAGCTTACTCTAACCCACCTAAAACCTAGCCAAACACTGTATTTTATAGCAATAAACCACGTAAAGAACAAAACGAAACAGTTTAGAGTTTTGTAAGCTACTGCCCGTGATAGGCCGGTAGGCTACAGTACTGCTTTAAATCACAACAGAGGAATGTCAGTACTGTAATAATCATCACTATAGCATTGGTGTTGCCTTAGTTTAAACAAATCATATTGAAAATAATAAAAATATTAGATAAGTCGTTATAAAAGTGTATAATCATAGCCAACTTAAAGATAATAAAAACACTTGTAAAAGGAATGTTAAGGTAATGATGTTGCTATTCTTTCTCTTTGCTTTGTTCTTCTATTCTTTTTTCTTTCTAAGGTTTCTCTTCATCCAAAAATTGTACAATTCACCATATTTACTTATCACCCAATCACAGCTTACTACACATTACGTCGTCATCAGTCCTCATTGAATGAAATCAGTTCAGTTCTCAGTTGTAACATATAGCGTGAATGCAGCGATGACAGCAGACGGGCCGGGATGTGTAAAACGGAGCAGACGAATGTTAGCGCAAGCGTTGACGTCACCTTTCCATTTCATTTTATGAAGAAACTGATTTTTCAAAGACAATAATGGGGGTTGGGGGGGGATTCGTTGTATCGAGGGAGAGACGCAGACAATTCGTTAAGTAGAGGTTAAATTCGCTATGTAGAGGTTCTGACAATGATAAATTCGTTATATTGAGGTGTCTTATTTTTATCCGGGATCATGAAAAATTTATTAAATCAAGGTCGTTGATATGGTTTGTTTGTTATGTAGAGGTAAAATATACATTGTGTCTTATGGAGAGTTCTAGGGGATTTAAAAAAATTCGTTATATCAAGGAATTCGTTATATTGAGGTTCGTTATATCAAGGTTAGACTGTAACACATTTGTTAAGGTTCGAAGGCGCAAAGGGTTAACAATAGCGCAATAACAGCAGTATTACAAGAAAATTATATTGGCGGGCTTGAGTACTATAATAAAGTTAACAGTTTATTAACTGTTAAAGTTAACTTAACTTTAACTTAACTAGCACTTGAAGACCAGCAGAGGAAGACTTAGGCTAAGGCTAAACTAGTGACAATGGGCATCCCCACCTCCTAGAAAACCCACCAGGTAAACCACATTTTTTCACATTATGCAGTAAAAACATAAAATTTCACCAATTCACACTATTCCAGAGGCCACAGCAGGACAAAGTCAGCTTTCATATAGCCTAGGCCTATTAAAACAATGTAAAAAATATAGATTGTCAAAGCCAATTTAGGTGCAAAGAGCTTAAAAATCGGTTTTTAATTTAATTTTAAACATTTTCCAACATTTTCTTTACATTATTCCCAGTGGTGTACTGGAGAACTCTACTTTTTCCAATTTTACATAAATGCTTTAAAGCTTTTATTATTGCTTTAGATAAAGGCTTCTTATCAAGGACATAGATAACAAGGCACTCATAATCAGCTGTTTCACCCCTCCCTGGGCATCAGTATGTGTTATGGCTGGCCATGAATTATTTTATGGAAACTTATCTGTGTTTATGTATTACATTAAATGTTATATTTTTGTGTATTGACGACAATAAGTAATGAAATTTGTTCAAATAATTTATTTTATGCAAGCCGACAAGAGGCTTGAAAATTAAACTGTTTCGAAACAAGTCACCGAGACCATTCTAGGATTGACGAAGTAAGGTAGGCTAACTAGTTAAAGGGATAACTTAAACTGTAACTGCTTTTAAAACCAAAAATGTATCAAATAAATAGAAGGGCTAAACAAAACCTTAAGGTTTCCAACCATCAAGGCCATCATTATCATCAATCTTCATTATAACTTAACTAACTAATTAACTAGTTAATTGGTTTTAGGAATAAGTTACAGACTTAAAATTAGGAGAAAATACTGACCTGTACTGTCAGAGTATCTGAAGACATTGTTAAGCTTTAAAAAAATGTATCTTATGATTATGAAGGGCTAACTTAACCTTGGTTTCTGAAACCCTGCAGGAAGTTTAAAATTGATACTCTAAAGATTTGAACTTTTAAAATTTCCTATCCAAGTTTCAAATGAGTGTGTGTGTATTGTAAGAAAGCCTATTCTTCATTGATGACTCATTGACATAATATAATACACGTTGACGTTGACACAATAACAATAACAACAGGCTAAGGGAAGGCCACAACAGCAACAGACAGATTATTATAAAATAAACGAAAGAAAGATCCTAGACTACGTGTTTTTGACGTTTGTGTTTATTTTGTGTTGACTTCACTCTTCACTCACACTAGACGCACTGCATTGAGGCTGAGCTACAGGAGAATGGAGTGGAATGGAGGGAGATACAAAAAGGTAGCTCTGCTCCACGATTACTAGAAAAATACCGGTATGGATCGTAAACATAAACAAATGACGTTTTTGGCCCAAAAATAAACATTATTATTTTAACATTGCTTAAATGGAACTGCCAAAACATATGTTCAATGCTATTAGTATAGGATTCGGACCAACAACGTCATTTGTTTATGTTTATGATCCATACCGGTATTTTTCTAGCAATCGTGCTCTGCTCTGAACGAGAGAATTGCGCGAGACGTTGGACGTTGGCCCTGGCCGTCTTATTTGCACTACTACTGTAGAGGGTAAAGTACAATGTACATACAACAGTAGTACATTTTTTTAACTACGGTAATTTCGGAGTTTGGGGTTTTACTTGTACATGCTGTGACATAGAGCCAATAGCCATCACTGAGCTAGAAATATACAACTGGAACTGGAGGTTTCTGGTAAGTGTATATAATTATGTTATTTTAATTATTTTTGTGGGTGGGGCAAAACGTGAAGCTGGCCCCACCCACAAATCATCACCATTTATCCATTTACCTGATGAGCTCTATTTTTTTTATTTGTAACGTTAGGTCTCAAGTACCAAAAATCTTTGGAAAATCGCTGGCCCAATGTTTCTGTCGATCGTTGGCCAACGTTATGTTTTGGCACCAAGTCTTACGGTTGGCCAACCAACCAATTTCTTCGGAAGGGCCAACCATCTCATTGGGCCCAAACATAAAAAACACAAAATAATAAAGATTTAGTATGAAAAGCATAATTATCAGTTGAGTAAATTGATTAAATAGTTCATAAAAACTAATTTTGAAAAAAAAACTAAATAAAATTATTTGACCCAAACGGGTTTCGAACCCGGAACCTTCGCCTTGTGATCTTCACACCTTACCTCTGAGCTATCTGTGCTTGTTGATCATGAGCGTTTTCAAGTGGTCAAAGAGTAGCCGACAGTTGCAATGGTCACAATACTTAAAATATTTTTGATACTACAGTGTAATATGAATATGTTAATCTGGTTAGGCCTCAAGTAGTTGAATTGTTTTTCTGGTAGTTGGACAGGATACTAGTATTTGAATATAGATTTATTTGATTACCATAGATTAGTACTGTTATAATTGATTCTTATATAATTAATTAATCTTTCCCCTATACTGTAACTATTAAATATTTTCTCAAATAAGTTAAAGAATATTGTAAATAAAATGGAATTATTATGCAGGTGTTCCCCACTGTATCTAGTAACACAACATCTTCTGACTACATTATAGATCCAAATTTTTACAATATTTGTCCTGTATTCTTGTATTGCTGCCATAACATTTATGTTCTTTTAAATAAATCAATTTGTTAAAATGCGTTTTAGAATGTTTTATACTTAAACCCAACGAAGGCCCAACGATTCTTTCCTTCGTAGGGCCAACGAATACATGTTTCCGTTGGCAAATCGTTAAAATTTCTGCCAACCATTTCGCAACCATGCCGACCATTTCCCAACGTTGGGCCAACGATGTGTGCTATTTGGGGTAGCACTATTTTTTTGTAATAGGTTTTAAAATTAGTGCTGTTTTGGGTGGGGCCAGCTTCACGCCGCGCCGGTACTGGATATAGCTGTGTTAGCCCAGCACAGACAACGACAATTCCGCTAGAAAATCGAGACGCTGTAAATTTTGTTAAGCTGGTACCAACTAGCGAAATTGGTTTATGGCTTGGATTTATGTATATGTACAATCCCCTAGTTGAAATATATGCATACTAGGTGCAATGAGTATGTTTTATCTATGGTGCAATGATAATATGGGTGCAACACACTTACTCCCCTAGCGAAAATGACGGCCAGACTTGCATTTCTCTATTTCTCTCATTAAGAGTTACCATTCTGCTACCTTCAGATATGTATCTCTAGCTCTAGCAGTGGAGCCCAACGTAACAAAAATATAGATTACAGCGTCTCAATTTTCTACAGAGTTGCAGTGTCAAAGCTACCTCCAGTCTCCAGTTGTATTTCTAGCTCCATTTCTAGCTCAGTGTAGACAAATAATGGCCATTGACAGACCACAAAAAACTAGGATATAGAGCAAACTATATAAACAGAGTATGATACGATAATTTAATTAAATTTAATTATTCAATTGAAATATGGATTGATCAGGTAGAAAGTGGAGGTTTTATACAAAGATTGACCTGACATTAGATTTTACAAAGGTTTTTTTTTAAGCCGAAAACTGATAAATAAGTTTCGAAATATATTTCAAGATTTATTGCGTTGGTTGTGGTTGGTTGTACCATTGTACTGATTCCATGTTTAGGACGTTCTTACTCTTTTCATTTCATATTTCATATCACCTGATTGCTGGCTGACTTTTGTGAAAATTTCGTCTGCTGTTTGATGCTTTTGGCGTTCGGCCGTTCGGCGTTGTCCAGTGGCAGTAAGTGAAAGTGGTGGACATTAATAAAAGTGCTTGTTCTCAAATTAGAGCTAAGGCCTGTTGGCGACTTGCGCTATTATTAGTACAAGAAATCAATTAACCACAATCGAAATGAGTACCAAAGCTGAATTAGCATGTGTGTATTCTGCTCTGATTCTTATTGACGATGATGTTGCTGTTACTGTAAGTATTTTGGATTATTAATTAGTCTTAATTTGAATTGCCTGCCTAATAAATCTCCTCTTTGCTCTTCACTGAAACAGAGTGTTCTTTCCTCTTGAATTATGTAGGTATCAGTACCATGTTATCCAATAGGCTGGTGAAACTGCTAAAGCGGGGTTTGAAAATTACCAAAAATCACATTGGTGTATTACCCTTGCCTATAGCATGTCAATAACTTAGCCAATTGTATTTTTAAACATTTGCGTCCTACTTTACTTCCTTCCTAGGACGCTAGGCTCCAGTTTAGTAACTTACTACTTTGCAAACAGTACCGGTAAGTTATTACTTAGCTAGGTTATAATTTTTGTTGAATGAATGGAATTTTATGATATGATGGCACCATTATCAAATTTACCCACATCACCTCTGTTAGCATTTTAAACACAGTTTACGCTTTACTGAGCCACCGGGCTCCTGGAACTTGTTCCTTGGTCTAACCTAATCAATCTTCATAAAAGATCATTACTTAAGCAGTCACAAGTAGCCTTAGTTAAACAACTGCTTTGTAGGGTGAGAAGATCCAGACCATCCTGAAAGCAGCAGGAGTGGAGGTTGAACCCTACTGGCCAGGATTGTTTGCCAAAGCACTGGAAGGCATCAACCCCAAAGAACTCATCACCAACGTTGGTTCAGGAGTAGGGGCTGGACCTCCAGTCGCTGGGGGAGGTAGGCATGGAGTTTATTCCATTATTTACAGGTTAGCAGTAAGAATATGGAGAAACTTAATAAGCTTTGTATGGGAAGCAAACAGGTTAAACTTTAATACCCAACCCTATCACTTGCAGGAATCCCCTGTGAAAAGAACATCTGAATCTAGCACTCCTGGAAGCGATAAATGTTATATATTTATATTGTATCTACAAAAAAAAAGTTATCAAACAAAAAGTGTAAATTTAATTTGTATTAATCTGATACTTCGTAGGAATAATGCTTTCATTAAATTCTTTCATTTTAGAGTAACTGATGCATAAACAGCAAAAAACTGAACACAACCTCACGTTTAAATAGCAATAAGTTAGTAATGTGCAATTTATAAATTTATTGTCATCTTCTCAGATAAAATTTATAAAAGGCCAATTGTAAATATCACTAAGATCGATTATTTCAGAAATTTACAAATTGATTAATAACAATGTGGTACTAATAAGAAAAAATACCCCCGCCGCAGCAAACCTGCAGACTAAGGGAATTTCAACTTGTCTGATTACATTTACTCAAATATTTTCATAAATAAGACATATTTATTCCCAATTTAAATAACATTAGATTGAACGAGTGCTTAGGTTTGCTGCTACGGGGAAGGTAAAAAGTTTTTTTTGACCATACGTCAATAGTATAGGATGAAATAAAGAAATTTGCCAAATTTTATCAATATATATCCATAAACAAGTTAACTACAACAGTTTTCATTTTCTCCATAAGAATAACATGGGAATTTTAAATTACACTATTTTTGAATTTTCTCCGTGACCGTTAAGCATACAAGAGCGCTTCAATATACTAAATTATTTATTTTTTTAAGCTCTTCAAAACGGTTTAAAAAGAAATTGCTAATTTTTTTTGTTTTAAGGGCCAAAAATGGGAAAACCCCATTTTTACCCTATAAAACCCCCCATAAACCCCCGTTCCCATGGTCCGATTATGCTGGTTCGCAAACTCGTTCGAATAAACGTAGGTTTACACGTTTGTACCAAATTTCATCAAAATCGGATCATTTTTGCTTGAGTTATCGCGCTAACGGACATATATACAGGGTGATTGATATAAGTGTGCCAGCCGTTTTATTCGTAAACTATAAGAGATATCAAAAAAAGTTAAATGGTAAGTGCCTTGGATTTTTTATTAAAAAAATTGTAGTCAAGTCAAAAAAATTATTTTAGCCGCCATTTTTCTAATATGGCCGCCAACTTTGATTTTTCTTACGGAACACCCTGTATTTTATGATGTATTCTGGTAGAAAATGTAATTTTAAGACGATTTTATTCTTGTGATTTTTTTCATAAACCTAACCGTTTCAAAGATAATAATGGTTAAAGTTTTGAAATTTCTGCATGAGAAAGAGTTTCGATAAAGGCCTAAGCAAGCATGCCAGCTGTTTTATTTGAAAACCATTCAAAATTCCACAACTTAAACCATTATTATCTTTGAAACGGTTGGGTTTATGAAAAAAATCACAAGAATAAAATCGTCTTAAAATTACATTTTCTACCAGAATACATCATAAAATACA